GGATTATATTTGAAAATTGATTAAACACATCACATCCTGTAGAATACGAGGGAATTCGTTTTTAGTGAAGAATATAATTCTTATTTGTCTGTGGCTTATTGTTTTTCGTATACTGATAACTTAAGTTGCAATTTTATATATTGTATGTTAAAGTATAATAATATAATATTAATACTATTATTATACATTACCATACAATATAAAATTATAAAATATTAATAACGACACATCTTCTCGTCAGGTTTACCTCAAAACCTGAAAACTAGATTGTACAAACAGTGCGCGTTGCCAGTGATGAGTTACGGATCTGAGACGTGGTCCCTCACTGCTGGCTTTATGAAGACGCTCAAGGTCGCTCAGCGAGCGACGGCGAGAGGGCTATGCTCGGGGTTTCTCTGCGTGATAAACTTAGAAATAAGGATATCCGTATATATAGTAGAATATATAGTAGAACCAAAGTGGCCGACATAGCCCAACGGATTAGTAAGCTGAAGTGGCAATGGGCTGGCCATACAGCTCGAGGAACCGACTACCGATGGGGAAAAAAGGTTCTCGAGAGGCAGTCTCGCACTGGTACGCGTAGTGTAGGGCAACCCTCACTAGATGGAGTGACGACCTGGTAAGACATTCAGGAAGTCGATGAATGCAGGTAGCTCAGGGCCGTGCTTTGTGGCAACACTTGAGAGAGGCCTATGTTCAGCAGTGTACTTGTGAAGGGCTGTAGTGATAATGATGAATATTAATATATATATATATATATATATATATATATATATATATTAACAATATTGTGATAGCCATGATAGGTCAGGGGCTAAGCGCACGCTGTAAATTTAACGTTACGCAAGCAACTCGGGTTCGATACCCGCCAGCACCAATGAAATTATTAAATGCAATTTTAAGTAGTGATCTCTTACGTGCTCGTCGTGAAGAAAAATATCGTGAAGAAACATAAATATCTGAGAAATAAGAAAAAAATATTTCGAAGACGAGAAGTTCGTCAACACGCAATGGGACCGCGCGGCGGACATTTTCTTGCCTTAAAACCCTCTCATTATATAAACCTTCTAATATTTAGAGGAGGCCTGTTCTCAGCAGTGAGACATATATAGGCTGTGGCCTTTTTTCCTTACTTACATTTGAGTTATTTACATTTATTTATTTTAAATTTAGATGTCTACAGGCCACAGCATCCACTTACCATCAAGTGGACTGTGTGCTCGTTTGTCACCCTTATCCTATAAAAATGTCACTGAAACTTTTCAACCCGTTTCATCAATACATATTTACATATCTACTGTTAAGAAAAATTCTATAACCTAATATAAAAAAAAAGACGTGTGGCACTCGGGGACTGCCGCGGTAAAGCTATTGCATAGCATTTTGTATCAACTTATGCAATTATAATTATTTATTTATTTTATTTATGCAGTATTTCTTTTTCTTTGATATTAATTCAAGTTACACTTTTTGAGCGTGGTGACCGATAAGAAAACAAATTTTTTTCACCAAATTAGCGAGACCTCCGGCACTGCGATCGTCAATCGGTCGACCAAGCGTGATGATCAGGACAGATCTTTTTACAACGGGAGAGACCCTGTCCATACTGGGCTTTTAGAAGCATATTACATTGTATAGTAATGAGCACGCTTATTTACAGTTATAAAAATTTATAGAAAATAATCATTCAACATTTTTCAAGGATGAAAACCTATATCTAGCCATTTACCGGTGACTTTGAATTGACTGTTAACTATTTTGTCACTAAGTTTTAGTAGTAGTAGCTCGCCTCGCTTCAAACGCAAAAATTGAAACCTAAATACAATTACTGCTATTTTGTATAACTGCTTACATTGTAGAATTCTTTTCAAAAGAAACATCTTTGAATCAAAATAATTGTTCCTTAATGCTTAATGCATGTTCTGTTAAATAAACAACAGTTATAAAAACTTCAAATACAGAAGAATTTACTCATTTCCCACTTAGGACACTCACATAAGCGCAGAGTAAATTAATACATATATCGGTTGTAGCAATGAAAGAGGCAGTAACGCTGTTGTTTCGGCAACTTTGGCATTTCAGGCCACTGAAGGAATCCGTAAAGAAAGATGAACCTACCTTCTACAATGGTTTCGATATAAAAAAAATATGTCAATTGTGTTCGGGCGTAATTAAAAAAGTACAACAATGTGATAAATATTCTAAGTGATTGAATTCATTTAAACAGATTTCGGAACATTCATGACGAAAGATAACGTTATAATAATTTCAGATTTGTCAAATGTGTAAGACGGTGAACTGCAATTATATCCCTGCAAGTCCGTCTGACAAGCAAAGCAATTTAAAAAAAAATCGATTATAAAGATTAGGTCCGTTTTCAACTGAAAACCAATTAATTATTGAGGCTGAAGAATAATAATATATTTCTCATACTACATAAACGTATTTTTCCTTGTTAGCATCCGAAAAATCTAAAGATTGTTTTAATCCAATATATTTATAATATTTTGTATACGAAAATATGTATATCTCATATTCACTGAATATTAAACTCATCCCAATGTGTTTAGTTATAAGTTATGCAAATATCATGCTTCCTCCTTCAATAAATAACTCTGACGTGGATACATGACTTTGTTTTCCTTTTAAAATAAATGCAGAATGTTCACATAAATGGACGTAAAAAAAATTGAGCTAATGTAGCACTAATTAGTTTGGATTCGCGACGGCATTTTCAATTGGGGTAAAAAATTGATAGTTTTATTGTAACATATTATCATCTCAATAAAGCTGACATAAACAGATGAAATGAAAGTAAGGCAATATTTGTTGGAAAATAAATGAACGGGAAAAAATAAAACCGAACGACCGAGAGATATAATGCTAACATGCGCCGTCTAACGCATAAAGACCCTGTTTTAATTATAAACATAGGTACGCGACATGTGCCATAAATGGAGTAACTCTTATAACGAAAAAAATTGTTTGTCACATAATGAAATAAAATTAAATACATCTTGTAATCTTCTAAATTAAGAATGTTTGCTGATTTCTATTTAACTAATGTTGAGCCACGTGGTGGCGGTGTAATAGAACCATGAGCCATCACCCCTTTGGAACCCATGGGTGTCGTAAAAGACGATAACAGTCAACGACAGAAGACTTTTATGGCTTCCGATAGATGGCATAAAGCCAATGCCCATCTTGTTTACACCTATTTAGTTTACATAAGAATTAAAATACTCGGACCGGCGAGGAGCAGTAGAACAACAGAACATGATATGCTTAAGAAGAGAAACGAAACTGTTTGGTATTAGAAGTTAGACATTTCCATCTTAGTCCTCGGAGGTGACTACGCGTCTACATTTTGATTTTTAATCGATAACTGATGTAGATATCTATGGGCGACAGCATCCACTTACAAGTTAATGGACTGTATGCTTATTTGTCACCCTTACTCTATAAAAATATATAAAAACCTACTCCACTTTTAACAAAATTAAATTTTTGCAGTAATATTTTACGATTTTATTTCGTAGTGCTAAGCTCTCGCAACGCGGCGTACGTCCAACTAGCAGCACGATGCGCCCCGCACTTAATTCGTGGACGAATGCGGGGGTGATATAGATGCAGTATTTAATAGACGCATTTTTAATTTATTATCATAAAAATAATACATATTTCTAAAAAGTAACCAAACCAAATTATTTTATTGTGTATTGCAAAGTAGTAGATATTTTTTTTATATTCCTTTGATAAACAATGAAGGAGTAAAGTGGTTTCATCTCAACGATTTGGAGGTGATTTGGGTATTTTTTTATTTATTATGTGACACCGATAGAAAAATTATGGCTAAACCAAATTACGTATCAGATCATGTAGATTACTAGCTATTTTTTTCATATGTAATTTCTCCGTAAGTGTCGACGAAAAGTTGGTTCATCTGCACGCTTTTTTCAAGCTTTTTTGCGAGAGAGCAGCCTTAATAATAAATGCACTTTGTTCATTCATATTCAAAATTTCAAAACACTTTATACATAAACACCGTGTCGAAGACTGAGGAAAAGAAACGACGTTAGACCATCGTTAGACAATGCACGGCCTTCAAGCCACACCTCCGTGCCCGTCGGAGAGCGTGAGGTTTTTTTCGTTACGAAATTTCTGGATTTTCCCGCACTCAAGGCCCGCGATAGAAGCTATGCAATAGCTTAAAATTTAACTCCCTTATGTACGGTACAGCAAATAGGTAGGTAGGTAAGAGGGTGAATCCTTACCTATCACTTTTTATGTTTCAATATCGTTTTTTAAACTTAAAAGTTTTTTTATAAGAAGTAAAGTCAAAGAACTGATGAGATTTTTTTTTCTCATTATAGCTTTTTGGTTTTAATTATTTTATACAAAATCTTACTTTTTAATTAAAGTTTAACTCTTTGACCCATTTGAGTGTTTTAAAAACTCCATTTTAAAAGCTCAAAGTAATAAGAATGTCGTCTTGACATGAAAAACTTCATCCCCTGCTTTTCTATCTTAAAAGTTTTTTTATGAGGACGTCCATGAAATTTATGAAGATCAGTTCAGAATTAAAGAATATATTGCGTAACATACATACAAAAAATACAAACCGTTGAATTGAGAACCTCCTCTATTATTTCCAAGTCCCTCCTTAATTCCATGAAGAAATAAAACAACATGTGTACAACGCGGTCACATGGCTTTGATGACGTCATTTTGGCGGTGTTACGGTGCGAAAAAAAAGCATGTAGCTAAATAAAAACTATATTTTTGATTTTCGAGCATAGGTTTTATTTGTTAATCCTGCAATATGTTGCATCAAATTTTAGAAACAACAAGCCCCCAAAGGAAACACCACCCGACACGCCTAATATATTTTTTATACAATATAATTTAAAACTATTTTATGTTAATAGATACATATTTATTTAAAATTTATCTACACTATAAATAATTGGTACAATATCATGGTCTAAACTGTCTTCTTCTTAACTTTCGATCTCGCTGTCGGATGACTCCTCTCCTCCAAAATCCATTACAAGTTGCTGCAGTACGTCGTCAACCAGGCCATCTTTTTCCCAGTATTCCTGAAAATAAATAAAATAGTGTTATAAATTTACCACAAAATAATTGTATCAATTTAGTGAATTACTAATATTTACCTCCAAAAAATACTTATATTTTTTTATTTAACATCACAATACAAACATAAATACATACATACATACATACTTTAGATTTATAATTTATTTACGAACTGACCTGTTGTAGTCTCTCGACATGGTTAACTTCTTTTTTCCAGTCTGATGCTTTGATGGAGTTCATTGCATCTCTGGTGAGATTTTCAATTTTTTTTCTTGTTGGTCTACGTTTTTGTATGCCACCCTCTGTTTGACCAAATTCCAGACATATTCAATGGGGTTGAGGTCACAATGGTAGGGTGGCAAACGTACAATTTTATGGCCATGTCGTTTCATTAAATCATCGACAATGTCTTGCTTGGGCGGCTTTGCCTTTTTTATAATATGGCAGATTTCTCTTTTTCTCATTTTTTCATCAAATGGAATATTGTTGTGACGCAGCCACTGTTGCATGTCTCCTTTTAACGTTGCAGTTGTGGGCGCCTTCACCGACTGCGTTAAGTGGTAAGGCGTGTTGTGTTGTCAATGACGACTATACTATTTGGAGGCAAGTTTGGTATCAGCTTTTCATTAAGCCATTTCAAAAAATTCTCGGTATTCATTTCATGATGTTAATCGCCAGTAGTACTTTTGCATTTGTATAACAAATCTGCATCTGCGATAAATCCGTTTTCTCCTCCAGCATGCACCAGAATCCACCGTTGACCTGGGTTAAAATTTTTATTCACGCTGCTATCTGTGCTGTTTTGCCAGCATTTGCTGACGGTATATTGGGAATGGATCCATGTTTCATACAGGTAGATAACTGGTTTTTTACCTGCACCGAGGTCATTGTTCTCTTTCATTCGGCGCAGGTAGCGTTCTCTCCATGCGGCTATATCGGCTTTTTGAATTAGCACCGAACGCGCACTTTTACATTTTTTAAATTTATAACCCAACTGATTTATTAAAATATTTCTAAGGAAAGTTCTTCCACCTTGAAAATTAAGATCTCTCTTAACAGCTGCCGAGATTTTTTTAAGCGTGGGTACTTCCTTTTTTACAGTATAAAAGCTGTTGATGATATTGCGTATTGCGCAAATATCAAAATCATCCACGACAATTTTTTTCACTGATTGTTTACGCTTTTTACCCGGTGTGGATAATTTTATTTCCCTCATTGGAATGTCTGTAGTACTTGGACTGGGACAAATGTCAGTTCTTGGAACGGTGCTAGTACTTGGGGCCGTACTAGTACTTGGAGCCGTGCTAGTGCTTGGACTAGCGTCGGGCGAAGAACCCGACGGTGGTACACATGCCATTTTGGCCTCCCTTTTTATACGAGTAAGAGTACTTCTTGATATTCCAGTTGCTGAACAGGTTCGTTTATCAACCTGATCTACAGGTATTTAAAAACGTCTATTTTTCTTCTCATTCTCGAAAAACTGCAGCACTTTCAACACAAAATTTCTCCCTTCACTGTGTATAGTTATCCCCATGTTAAAAAATGAGTAGTAACAAAAATAGTCCAAAATTGACAAAACAGTCCAAACTTAAACAATAACGAAAACGTAACAAAATGTCCAAAAACAGCCAAACTTAAACAATAACGAAAACGTAACAAAATATCCAATAACAACAATAGCAACAGAAAACTAGTCAAAATATCGACGCGCGTATCGGTAACAAAGATGCTAACCATACTGACGATTGCCGGGCGAGCTAAGGGAGTGCGGGGGGAAGCTGGCGGAGCCTCGCATTCCAGCGATGCGTCAAGTTAATGTGACCGCGTTGTCTGTGACATAATTTTCATTTTATTTTAAAGGACATTTGATGAAATTATGTATAGAATATAACTTCAACCAAATGGCTGCCGTGATTCTGCTGTAGGTAGTGTATCGTGGTGTACTAATTTTGAATGACATCTTCGCATAAATGGGGCTGTTTCATGAAGAACGCGAATTATGATGGGCTTCAGGGCGGCAATTGTCTGTGGTTTATCGGCATAGACCAGAAATTTCACGTAGCCCCACAGAAAGTAGTCCACACGATCTCGGTGACCAGTTTATGTCTTGCTAATCAAGCAATAAATAAATGTTTACCGTGCAGTATGACAAGTGGCGCAGTTAAGTTAAAGCCACATGTTAGTGAGGTTATCCCAGGCTACAAACAAATTCTTATCATCGTCAGATATCGGTCGTCATTCACTGTGAGCGAGGCTCCTTGCGCATATTTGAAGAAATAAGACCCTTATTGATGATGATGAGATGATATCACCGGACCAAAATACACGTGAGTGTAGGGGCACCTTATGAATCTCCGGTAGATTTTCGTCGCTCCTAATTAGGCAACTTTGTTTGTTAACAAAGCCACTTAAACAAAAATGAGCACTGAAGATGACTTTTGTACTGAAAGCAGGGTCAGCCGCCAAATGCTCTAAAGACCCAATCAGCGAATATACGGCGCTGTTTGTGGTCGTTGAGTTTTAGCTCTTAATTAAATTGAACTTTATGTGGATGAAAACCCAAGTTTCGACGCAAAATCCATCAAGTTAATGTCTCAGAAAGACTCAGCTCTTGCGCACGACGCGGAATGGACTGTCTGGGGTTTTCTCGCACACTGTCCCAAACGGCAATAGGCACCGCCTTATCGATCACCGAACCGGACCCGTTTGTCTCAAATTTGTTCATTAAGCTATGGATTGTGGACTCTCATGACGGCCATGAATACCGTAATTTGGACGCAACGCACGGAACGAAGCTTTCTTCCTCGCACAACTTCCTTGTGGAATCGACTACCACCAGAGATTTTTCCGGACCGATACGACTTAGGGACCTTCAAGAAAAGAGCCTACTCCTTTTTAAAAGGTCGGCAACGCATCTGCAATTCCCCTGGTGTTGCAGTTGTTCATGGACGGCGGTAGTCACTTACCATCAGGTGAGCCGCATGCTCGTTTGGCTTCTCTCCTATATAAAAAAACGTTAAGCGAACAGATCACTGATTTTGATAATAAATTATAACAATTCTAACGCGTTGTTGAAGCATGTAGCTTTCCATTGTGAAATGTCATAATTGTCAGCTATCGCATTTTTTTTTATTTTTATTAAAAAAAAACCAACAGAGATTTAACAATTTTAAGGACTTAAAGTATACAGCTTCAAGAAGGTAAATATATTATGGACGGTACAATTCAACTATTCTTTGGATTTATTATAATATGTATGTACTAATCTAATTATATATATATATATATATATATATATATATATATATATATATATATATATATATATATATATATATATATATATATATATATATATATATATGTTCACAGATATGTAACAAAAAAAAGTAAAGTAAAGTTACGCCTATATACGTCCCACTGCTGGGCTCAGGCCTCCCCTCATTTCTGAGAAGGTTTAGGGCGAGGAAGTGTCCGCCGCGCTGCCCAAATGCGTGTTGACGAACTTCACATGTCTTCGAAATATTTTTTTTCTTATTCCTCAGACATGCCGGTTTCCTCACGATGTTTTCCTTCACCGCCGAGCACGTGGTAAATCAGCACTTAAAAATGCAATTAACAATTTCATTGGTGCCGGCGGGGATCGAACCCGGGTTACTCGCGTTCTGTTATATTTACAGCGAGCGTTAACCACTGAGCTACCACGGCTCAGTGGTTAACGCACGGCTGTAACTAAATGTTTATACTAATTACACTTTTGTATATGTGTATGTAGAAGTAATATTTGTATTATTTATTTCTCTGCAAAACTTTTAAATGCAGCCAGATATATAATAATATAAAGTATGGAATTTGACGGCAAATATCAAATTTACCGCAGAGGAACTTCTTTCGTGACAAAGACTCTTGTTTAAACTCGAGACTATCAACAAACAACGTTTTGTAATAAGTTAAAGTTTTGATTATCATAAAAAATGGTTAAACTATGAAAGTGAAGGAAGAACTCTATAAAAAGAGTGTGATAAATGTCTTTGTTCGTAAAGTCGTAAGAAGTTTCTTATTTATGAGAAATTATATTTAGAGAGTAAGTAGGACAAAGCTCGGTCTAGATCCCGCCCCGTTGTTAACTGTGACCCACAAAACTTAGCCAGAGAAATGAAGGATTTATTATTGTTTTGAAACACCACCTATGTAACTTGTTTACTAATTACTCGGTTGTTTTATTTGGAATACTAATGTCAAATAAACACACTTTAAATACTTGAATGAACCCTTATAAATATCAAAACTTGGTTAATAATTGTACGAGGGTGGATTGAAAAGTACTCGGCCTAACCAAGAAAATAAACACATACTAAATCAGTTATATTTTTATTTTTCTACATAATCACCATCAAGTTCAATACACTTTTGCCACCTCCCCTTCCAAGCATTTAGACCGTTGAAAAAAAATGATTCTTCCTTAGAGTCAAAATATGCGTCTACAGCTGCTTTGACCTCGTCGTTTGTCGAAAATCTTTGACCTCCCAAGTGCTTTTTTAGGTTAGGGAACAGAAAGAAGTCTGATGGTGCCAGATCAGGTGAATACGGCGGATGCGGTAACAGTTCAAAGCCACAGTTGTGAATTTCAGCCATTGACTGTACTGACGTGTGAACACGGGCGTTATCTTGATGAAACAGGACTTTTCTTCTGAGCATTCCTCGACGTTTTTCTTTTATTTCCTCTCGTAAACGACGTAGTAAGGTGCAGTAGTAATCAGAGTTTACAGTCTGACCCCTTTCAAGATAATCAATCATAATCACACCTTTCGAGTCCCAGAATACTGAAGCCATCACCTTATTTGCCGACAAAATCGACTTAGCCTTTTTTAGGGGGTGGTGAACCAGGTCTTCTCCACTGTTTTGATTGTTGTTTTGTTTCCGGTGTACAGTAATGAACCCATGTTTCGTCCATAGTAACAAAACGATTCAAAAAATCGTCTGCATCGGCTTCAAATAACTCCAAACAGTCGCGTGAAATAGTCAATCGCGTCCTTTTTTGTTCAACTGAAAGCAGTCGCGGAACCCACCTCGCGGACACCTTGTGGAAACCCAAATCGTTGACAATGATGTTTTGAGTTCGTTCATAAGAGATGCCTATAATCTCGGCTATCTCTTTAATTTTTAATCTGCGGTCTCCCATTATTAAATCAAGTACTTTTTTAATATTTTCGTCAGTAGTTGACGTCGAAGGCCTTCCAGAGCGGGGTTCATCTTTCACACTCTCTCTACCACGCTTAAATTCTGCTATCCATTTTTTGACGGATGAATATGACAGAGCACAATCGCCTAATGTACTGACCATGTCATCATGGATGGCTTTTGATGATAGCCCCTTCTTATGGAGGTACTTAATGACGGCACGCTGCTCGATTTGCTCCATTCGCGGAAATTATGTCCGATTACTTTGTTAATAAATTTATAAAATCACAACTAATTATCGCACACGTTTCGAACTTCACACAATGAACTAGTCTGAACTGAACTAAATAATGTGGGTAGATTTGATTTTTAGAATTGAATGGATCTGTGTTAGGCCGAGTACTTTTCAATCCACCCTTGTATCAATTTTAGTTTCTCTTTTTTTTCCTTTAATTGCTACACCTACGACAAACTCTCATCACTCCGTAGGTTAACTGGTAGATAATGCTTTTAGGCATTAAATCCGCCCATTGCATCCTTTTTTTTCAAAGGGGCGCAATAAAAAAAAACTCCTAAACGCTTTATATACTATAATTTTTGTTGTTGTTATTATATATTATTTTCTGTTTACGTTATATATATATATATATATATATATATATATATATATATATATATATATATATATATATATATATATATAAATTACGTGTCACGTTGTTTGTCCGCGATGGACTCCTTCTTGAGTGTGCAGTTTGGTCCAACTTGAGAGACAGGATAGTTTTTTTTGCCCATGAGTGATCCACAATTTTTTTTGAGAATTTAAAGAATTTTAATAAGACCTGACAAAGGGTCATCGTAAAGGGCAGAACAACGTCTGCCTGGCAAGCTAGTAAACTATAAATTTTACTGAAAAAAAAAATTAAAAACTTGTCACAAACGTGTAACTGATTCCCGCAAAGTAACTACCGCTCATCGTTGTACTCACATGGTAGAGCCACGGTGCAGTTATATTGTGGCCGATCACGTATGGGTCAGTTCGACCGGTGTAGGACCAGGCTCTTAGAGACCAGCGTGAAAGAGCAAAATAATGCTATATTTCGTATAATTAGTGTAGAGAGCCCTTTCTACTGGTAACGATATTTTTTTACTGATAACTATACTGGTATTTTGAAT